GATTCTCATATAATACATTCTATTTTTAAAAGTCATACAACATACTGGAATTAGAGGCTGATTTATAAGAGATAAAGAAAACAGGATGTTTTCAGCAATTATTCCTAAATTATGCTCAAATATTATTCAGAATAGCAACCCATAAAGATACAACACCCAAGAAAATGTTTTTGTCCTCAGGAACCCTTCAAACACCAAAGACTTTAGCCAATAATAGCTGCAACTGAAAATGCGAATTTAAAAGGCATGCCACAAGGCTGAAAATATTTTTAAGTAGACAACCCATTTGAAAAATAAATATGACAGCAAAGTATAAGTGGGATGAACAGAATTTAGCACAGTACCTTCCTTAAAGGTAAACTGGCACTAAATAAGTATTCATTAAATGTTAGCTAACTACTATTATCAATAATAATAATAGATCAAATTAGACAATGCAGATGAAAATTCTCTATAAACACTAAAGAATTCTACAAATCTAAGCTGTCTTTTCTCTTTCTCACCTATCCTTCCAATATAAATATGAAAGATAAAGACAATAAAATTTAATTTTCCAACAGTAATTGGTTCCAAATGTCCACATATAATTTCATATAATCATACTCTAAAAGCATTTTATTTATAAACACTGCAGATTAATTCTGAAGTTTTTAGGGATGAAGTATACTGATACCTGCAACTTTCTTGAAATGTGTAAATAAAAGAAGATGGACTAATATACCAAGGGGTGGAGAGATGGACAGATATTTGATAAAGCAAGTATATTAAAATATTAATTGTAGAATCTAGGTAGGTAGTGGATATACAGATATTTATTGTACAATTCTTCCAACTCCTCTACAGGAAAATTTTCATAAATTGTTGGGGGAAAAGAGGAGGAAACCATTGTGGCCCATTTTTAAACCAATGTATATAGGTTTCAGTTTTCTGAATAGAAGCTTAGGTCCACAAACAGAAAAGAATAATGAACATATTTATTATTTTAGTAAAGACAACCATCTGTGGCTTAAAGGAAAACTGTCATGATGGGACAATATTCTGGAAGACTTGACTCCAATTCATTCATCAAATTAAAAGAAAAGACTACAATTCAGTCATCAAATTATTAGTCACTGTGTGAGCTATCAAAGGCTGCAATGGTGAATACGAGATACAGATTCTCCACCCACCTAGAGGATACAGTTTCTGGCTAATATTCAACATGTTTTACAAATGCACAATAAACATACATTTGTGAAATTCAAACACATTCCCTCCTATCAACAGAGTAATAATTTTCAAATAGGGAAATTTCAGTTTAAATAAATGATTAGAACTGACAAGAGAAGTAACATGATACTAATTAATTTGAAACACTTGTCCTGACATATAAAAGCCATGTTTCAAGGGAGAAAAATACACAACTAAATAAGCCAAATGCTATAAAAAGTATGTTTTAAAAAATGTACAGAATAGTTAATATTGATGATCTTTATTG